TATTCCTTTGTCTGTGTTCAGCTCCACGTACCGACTGCTGTCTCCGGCAACGATCCGAGCTCGGCCGCTTTTCAGCCGTTTGATGTCGATATCCAAATCCGCAGCGATATTACCAATGACGGAGCCTTTAACCATCTCCTCCGGAACAGAGAATCGCATTTGACCATGAGCAAAGGAAAAAATGGAAAGGAAAATTATCCAAAGTCTTATTTCTCCGTTATTATTACAGGGTATTTTCCTGAAGGCCATTTCCTCCGTCACTGCTTAATAATAGAAAGACAACCTTTTCATTAATAGATATTCATCTGACAATTTAATCACCATATGCAGCAGATCACAAATCCACCTGAAGCCTTTTCGGTTTTGATCGAATTTGACTGAAAATATATCCGACCGGGTCTGAGCTATTTTTTCTTCCTTGTTCCCGTCGTCATCTACCAGGATCGTTCGCACACTGCATCTGTGTCTGTGTGTGGGAAGCAGTACTGCAATAAGGGAGGCGCCACTAAAATTCAGCTCGTCGCAGCTCGCCTCCTTAACCAACAGCGGCCCTTACAGACTTGTGTGGGAAACGCTGCCGCGCGCTCCGCGAAACAGCAGCCTAGACCGACGTCTCGTGCTACTAGAGAATTATGTCGAACTACCCCCCCACCCCCAATCTCACACACATACATATACAAACAAACAAATCAATAAATAAATGACAGGTTTTGCTATTACTTGATTACAAATCTGTTACATAATCCTCAGAATATATACTTAGAATCATAGTATAGTGGTGTCATTTTCTTATCTAACAGCAGACTCTTTCATTCTGACTTAAGATTTTACATTTTATGTGCGCTGAACTCTTTGCAAAGTATGTTTAAGATAATCCATCATCATGGAAGATGAACTTAACAAAAGTCCAGGTGCTACTTTATCTGCAGAGAAATGGAAACTTAAAAATTGCATTATTTATGTTGTTGTTGGTGCTGCTGAGACACTGTGAGGATGATTAATTCAGTTATAAAAAAAAACGTTTTCAATCAATGTGAAAAGCAAAATATCATAAAAATGTTTCCGCTTCACAGAGAAAGAAATAATCCAATACTAATAAATGATGAATTTTCTTAAAAATTTTAAACATTTTAAATTGAAAATGATTATTGAATCAAATAGATGGTGTTTGTTATAGAAAAATGAGATGGCATTTAAAAGGACAAAAATTAACGACAATAATAATGAATATTATTGGTATCAACTTACCAAATCAGTCTCATCCATGATGTTTCTTTCACGCAGTGTGCGCTCCATTATCTCTGCAGAATTAGTATCTGCCATTAAAACATCCTGACTACATGGTTTGACAAACTTACAGCCACTCTTCCTGGAGTCAGTCGTCATATACACCTCGTAGTTGTGCATATTCTGTAAAGTCCCTGTACCTCCGGCGTCTGAGTAAAGTGTCGGATAATACGGTATAACTGGCAGATTGGACTGATAA